AGGAATTTGTAAAAGTCTGATATATGTCAGATTAGAAGAGCTGAATTAGATAAATAATCAATAATTTACTAAAAAAATGAGTGCGCCCTTTTCCCATTTTTACTAAGTGAACATTTTTTCTGTTTTTAAATAAAGTTGTAAAACAGATTGTTACGATTCTAATAGTGGTCAAAATGCCACTTTACAACTTTATTTAAAAGCAAAGAAAAGGTTAGTAAAAAAAAAAAACTTTTTATGAAGTAAAAATTTGTATAACTAAACTCTGTTAAATCATTTGACCAGAGACTCTTTGACTATTGACCAAAAATTTTTCGTTGACCAGTGATTTGACCATCCCTGAATTAAAATTATACTATCTATGCATTTATTTTTATAATACAATGGATTAGTCAAAAATTAGAAATCGATATTAGCAAAAAAAAATTCAAAACCATACCTGGTATTTCAAAATGGTTTGAGTGGTCCTGGCCTGTAACAGGTCAATCCGCAGGATATATTCGTGCTCGCTCTCTTCCCCACATAGGTGTGTGGACTGAATTTCGACCTGAACAGATTGCTACTTTTTATAACCGACCATCTCTAAAATTTTCTGAATCACAAAAACCAAAAACTGCTTGGACAATGTCAATTTCTAACAAAAAAGGTAAAAATGCTTATTTGTAATTGTTTTGATTGCCAAAAACATCAAAATATAAAATCTTATTTTTGTAAAGACACCGAACCAGCTATGAACAAAGAAACTGAAAACCAATCAGGTAATGTGGGTGTTTGTAGCTAATGACTATCTAGTTGGCTAATGTAAAATTGACTAGTTGACTTCTTTAGTTGATAATAGTTTTATAGAAAGCAAACCCTTAATATTATGACCAAGGTATGATTAAGAACAGGATATAAAAGAGCTTTTACAATAATCTTCACAACTGTCATGTATGAGTACTTTGAGATACCGCAGTCCATAATGACAAAGAGATCAACTAGTCAGCTTTAGATCGAAATTATATCAGTCAAACTAGACTACAAACACAATGTGCTGGTAACGAATATACATATAATTTACGCTCACCATCTACAAATTTACATTTTAGATATTAGTAATAAATTAGATGAAATATCAAACGTCACAAGAGGTAATAATAAATATATAAGTGTCGCCAAAAGAAATCAGGAATTAATATGAGCCCACTATGATCTAATAAACATATTAGATCTGACTCAATATGACGAATAATAATAATTATATACCATATAGCGCTGCATACAGTACCCCAGGTACTTTTCAAGAAAGCCGGCCTAGATTGAATAATACCCCAAATATTGGAGCTGTAAGAATAATACAAATAATTGTTACTGATCAATATATATCTTGCTATTAGACATATCAAACCCAATAAAAGGATCGCACTATAATTATAAAAATTGGACCACAAATCGCTTGTCAGAAGAGGGGAATACTATTCCAGAAGCACTATATGTAGTGCTGTATGGTAAATCTTTGCTGTCATTTCGGCTCTTCATAAAAAAAAACCTGGTTTTTTTTTGATAGCACTCATATATATGCATTTTTTATGAAAAATTCAAAATACGTAAATCTGAGCACCATAGCATATACTACATACCTAAATATTCGACTCATTCACCCTTACTCTATTACCCGCCACATAATAATCTAAAAGATACAAGGTAATATGTTTTATTATATCATAATAATTCCGTTTGGCATCAATTATTTTTGTATACTACTATAAAATACTTATTTTGTAGCATTGATCAAGGATTTCCACTTGCTCTGGGATGGGCCCTGAAAGAGAATATGAAATTTGGTAACAAAGGTGCTGAAAAACGTATGACAAAAAAAGTAATACAGTATTTGCAAGGGTATTTTTTGGCGGACAACTTGAGAGCTGAAGATCGTTACTTACCTGAAGCTATGCACGCAGATTTAGAAAATCTGGCAGCAATTGGGGAACTTACTTTTAAAGAAATACCGACAGTAAAAACTATCAAAAGTTAGATAGGAAGATATAGTGCAAATTTCAAAAAGAACACATCAGAAAGGGAAATTTCAAAAAATGATAATAGTGTAAAGTTCAACGAAAGCAGTAATAAACGGCAAAAATTCGATTAGAACATAATTAAACATGCAATATTATTATGAAATCTTTCTTTCCTCTATATAAAACTTCCTGAAATATAAAATAATAAATAGTTTATAAATACCAGAGGTGTTGTTGAGATTCGAGTTACGCATAACAAGTATAAATTTGCAATTTAATAAATGTCGGGGATGATGCTGAAATCCACGTGACATCCGTATAAGCGGATTTCCTAAAATTTCCGAATCTTGTGTAATCAATTGAATGATCTACACTACAGCACTAAGCAAAACTATCGAATGCAAGGGCTATAACGGCAAAAATTTTTTTTTTTGTTAGTAGGTAAAAAGGTGGTTTCATAGACGTTATGTGCACTGCA